TTATAGATTACAAAGTTGGGGTAGCCATGTGTGAGTTGGTTAATTAAATGAAAGGGTAGAAAAAAAGGTCTTTTAAATCTCACATTGATATGTATTTCTAATGTGACCGGTTTTGAAGTTTATAAGTTACACTACTATAAAGGCGAAACGAACTGAACAAAGGGTCATAGAGTCCAAAAGAAACATCCATTCATCAGTGGCAAATAAAAATAAAAAATTTAGTTATGAAAAAACAAAATTATCCCTTAATAGCATAGTCGAGTGACTTTGGAAACTAGTTACAGGCTCTTCTAGTCCTTTAGGAGTGGAAACGCCTGGTTTTGTAAAGGGGGAGAGAGAATAATAATAATAAATATTAAAACAGTATTATTATGTATATTTAAAATAATTACAAAATTACTAATAGTTTCATGAATAAATAATTAATCTATGTTTATGGAATAAATATTAAAATAAATGACTATAGATAAATATAAAATAAATGTAAGATATATAAATTTGGGATAAAATGTAAAAATAGGCATTTATATGGAGGTCAATTAATTATCTAAAAACAAAACCCAAACAATATGTTAAAATAATATAAAGATATTCACCTAGAGTACACAAATCGCTGTACAAAACTGTACTTTACACATTACAGTGTTGCGGGACTTAGGGTCCCGAAACGAGAGTCTCGCCTTTCGGCAAGAGTTTTGGACAGCAGTCCTTACTGGAATACATCTGTTATTATAGTAAAAATTACACTGTTTTGTTAAACACAGCTCCGATCGGAAGCTGGATCAGCAAAACAACCTTACAAAAATGCACCGCCCAGTACAAGTGGATTAACACCTTAGACCATAAGTTCTGTGATAGCCTATTGGCGATTCAAATTAATTTTCGCGCGCCTGTCATTTGTCACTTATAAGTAGGATGTTTGTTTACTTACATGTTTTTGTTTTGGGCGGATTTTGTATTTGTGATTGTTTTAACTGTTTTTAGATAATATTCTCATTGTAATAGTGTTTTTGAGTTTCATTTAGAGTTAATTTAAGTTTAAGTCTCGTGCTTTCGTCATAAATATAATATTTATAATGTGTATGACCTATTTGTTGGACATATTCACCTATTGGTTGCTACAAGAACATCTAGAAATATGTATTCACTAAACCCAGGACATGTTTTATTATGTGATTTAAAGGACATTTCAGGTACCACACGTTTATTATTGATGAACTTATTTAAAAATCTTACTAGACTTATTCTTATATTATGAAGTGAATCATGTAGTACTTTGTATACATATAAATGGTAATAAAGCAGTCACAAATCAGATTACAGTTTGATTCTAAACAAAATTTTGTAAAATTTCAATATTGTGAATTTGTAGATATTCACTTATCGTAAAAAACAAAATTTTACGACTTGCACTTGGAAAATATTGAATACTTCAGTTTTGATTTTGAAATTAACACCATATAGATTGCAATTTTCTGGGGACGTTTTCGCAGGTTTAATTTTTAAAATAAACACTATCACATACTATCAGAAATGAACAAATTTAAAGCTAAAAAGTAAGAAAAAACTCGAATTGTAATTGATACAAATTAAAATGTAAACAATGAACACGAACGCCAATGTTGCCAAATGATCAACTGATTTTAAAACAAAATTAATAAATGAACTGAAATTTAAAAAAATCAATATAATAAATCATTTTTATAAAAATATCCTTAAATAAATATAGAGTATGATTACATATTACCACACACAAATTTTGATTTTTAAATAAAAGGTCTTATCCACTTCTTCAAAATCTAAAATCCGACGACTTAGCGAAGTTTTGCTACTTCTGGCAACACTGAACGATATCCTACTTATACGGACCTTCTACAAATTTCCTCCAAAGGGCGTATCACTTAGCTTGAATCGCGAATATTGGTACTCGTTCCTCTACTACAACGTAGTAAAGATCCTGTATTTTTAATAAATTTTACTGATTAGTAAGCGAAAATTACCTATGTAGATATAAATTTTAATAAACAAGTCATTGAACCAAGGAAAGAGTCATTATCACTCCTTTTTTAAAAAACAAAAACAATTAATCAAGTAGACATTACGCTTCCTAATCATCTTATACCGAAGGATTAGCTCTTATTAAATTATAACTAATTATTCGAAAATACCAATAAATCCAAGTATGATCACGTTTATTATCATAAACACTCTCAAAACAGTTTAACACTAGATATTTTCCGTAACTAGTTTTTTTCTATAACCACTAAGGCTTCCCTCTTATCAATAAACTACCTAATGCAGCGTTAAAAACAAAACAAGATCCTCGCTAGCAATATAGAGATAACGATCGTTATTTAATAACAATTATAATGCTACTTAAACTTATGTCGTAAAATTTTATGTTCCATTTTAAATTCAGATTATGTTCCAAGTAGGTACGTGTATATTAACGAGATAAAACTATAAAAAGTAAGTAGAGCTAAATAAATAAAACTATTCAAAAACAATTGCACGAGTTAATAGTGATTGTGGGTAGTCAAAAAATGTCTCCCCCTCCTCCCATTTTGAGACAAATTAAAACCTTATTTATCAGGTATAACTAATGTTGATACTAAATAAAACGAAATATAGACAAGAAATAGAAAAATTTGACAAAACGAATGGCTTAAAAACCTGCACAAACTATTTGGTGGTTCTGGTAGAGATAAAGTGCTCTCTTTTACATTAAGAATCGTTGAAATAATTTGGTACTCTAGATTCAATTTAGTTGACAAAATTAAATCAATATTAAATAAAATTAATATCAGTGAAAAACAGTAAATAATTTTCATAGGGGCCATTCTAAGTAATGTAAATAACATGTTATTCTATCGAATGATAGATATGCTTCACTGGTTTTTCAGTCTCCGAATTATCGAACTAGTGAACAACATAGGTAATAGAAAAAAGATCTCTACTAAGAAACAACGTCAATTATTATCAAGAAAAATAAACCAAGATATTTAAACGTTAAGAGCAAACCGGACCCCTCACGAAAGCAAAAATGTTTTAAGGATTTCTAATATATTATTATTATTTCTGTTATTATGTGTCTTGAGAATATTGAGAGCTTTAAATTTGTACAACGATAAGGCAGCACTCTACAGAGACGTTTAAGAAAAAAGGTGGGAAAGTATTTAAAAACTAATAGATATTTTTTAAAACAAAAAGCAGCAAATTTTCATAAATTTAATACAGAATGGCGCGTACATGTTTTTATATGAAAATCCCTTTAAAAATTTTCAAAATAAATACTTTTCGATAGTTTACAAAAAATTCAAGGTTTCTCCACCCTAAGTTTTGTTATTTTTGGTATTTCCTGAAAATTTCAGTAAAAATAAAGGCCCAGAAGGAATTATAAATTTTCAAGGTTTTCGGTTTGCTCTTAAGCAATGGAGTCATGAAAATCTATATGTAGGTACTTTAAAATGGTCATAGCCGGATACCACAAAAATTAAATGTGTAAGCTGGTATTTCAGGGCAAAAAATAATTGAAGGTTATCTGAATGATACTGTAAAACTGGAAAAAGGACCTCTTATTCGCAAGTTTATAGTGCCAACCATAAACAAATACTACTTGTTTACTTATGATATTTTTATAAAAGGATAAATTATGAAATAATAAGATAATGACAATATAGAATATCGATATTCAGGTTACGTTCGACTTTAGGGACACACTGTTTGACCAGTTTTACTTAATTTTTTTGATTTAAATGATATTAAGTATGATTTTAACTCCCCTTAGGTTTGGAAATAGGAAAAAAAAGTATAAATCAATTAAATATTTTAATTAAATACTTTTTGAAAATAAGAAAACGAGTATTTTATTAAATTTAACCTAAAACTTGAAAATTTTAATATTTGACATTTCTTTTCTGGATAATGAGCGGGGTTGCCAAGATTAATTTGTTACTACTATTATTAAAACTAAGTAGTCTGGGTATTAACAGTATGACCAGGTAGCAGAGAATTTAAAGTGAAATTTTATGTTGAATGAGACAAATAAAATGATTTTGTAACATTGTATTTTTAGAAATTACTCAAAAATGTCATGTGAAATGTCAGTAAGTTATAAAAACTTACAAAGGATTCCTGTTTAATTTTATAAACAATTGTATGAGCTGATAAGAAAAGATATTATTCTTTGATCTGTGTTAGGGGTCGGAGAGCGATGTTTGATACAGATTCTGGTATTTTATCACAAAATTCTATTATTTTTATTTAAATAAACAAATCATAAAAGTATAATAATTTACGAGTTTACAAATTAATTACATCTTTTTACATATTAAAATACTTGGCAAACCTGTACACATAAGTCAAAGTATTTGATGAAAAATGTGCAATTTTTGAGATTTTAATATTAAATTTCTCGCTTAATCGTGGATAATAATCTCCAAAATTTTTTTAATTGTCATGATATATAACCTTTACTTTCTAATAGTACAAATTTTTTTTTGAAATTCGTGTGTCTTTTAAGTCGAATGTAACCCGATATTCAAATGAAAAATAGCTGTATATAGGACATTATAAGAAATATCAATATAAGCTTAGAAAAAATTATTAATTACCTAGGTCGGGTCATCTACAAATAATATAAAATTCAAAAAAATTAAAGAAACAGGGTTTTTGCAAACAGAAAAAATTAGAAGATAATTTTAATGCAAGATAAATAGTGTTAGAAACAAGCGTGAACGGAAGTAATACAAACATTCTAATAAAAATTAATAAAATGATAATTATTTTATTTTTATTTAATCAGAAACATGTATTTTCCTTTTTTAATAGATTTGTTTATTTTCCAAAATTGTTCATATTAAATCAAAAATTATTCATTAACAAACCATAATATTATGAAACTTATACTTCATAACAATCTTTCAATTTTATTAAAATACCTTTATAAAATCATGTTTATAAACACTTCTAAGATTTCTACACATTTAAAAAATACATACCGAATGAAACTTATCCATCAATTCAGTAATTTGTACTTTGCTACACATTGTCACAGTTTGATTTCAAAACAAATGTGTAAAAATCTATAAACTTCTGTCACTCAAAAAACAATTAAAACATGTCCGATTCGAAACTAAAAACAGTCACACAGAACAACAAGATTCTAATCTAGTCCGTAAAAATCCATTTTTCTGGACCGCGCGCTGAATTCTTGACCATGCACGAAGAAGACAATAAAGAAAATTCAAGTGGCAGCTGAGCAGAGCGCGATCGGTTTGGTTCTGTCAGTACGGAAACAGGTGAGTACCGCAATAGAGAACACACAACACAAACACGAGCCACTACTTCTTCCAATTCTTTCTCCATCACCATCGGTACTTACTAGAAAATAGTACGGTGGCTTCAGCGTCAACAAATTTTTATAAAATATGCTTTTTAACAGAAAAGTTTCATATAGGTATTATTATGTATGTTTTGAAATACTTTGCATGGTAGCAATAATATTAATCGAGAAATGGTTTGTATCTTGTATCGGTAAGGTGCGTATGTATAAATAAGTCGCGCCAGAACCGGGCCGTACTTGCGTCGCATAGTGCGGCCGCAGCCCCGATTGTACGGCCAAAATTCGAAAAAAAAAAGTTTCTAATTGGGGTTTCTTCATCATTGGGTTAGGTAAAGGGATCCCCAAGAAACGGAGGACCACTTATCAAAAGTACATGCTGACAAAAAAAGTAAGCCCTTGTCATTCTTTCAAGCACTTAAAGAAAAACTAGAGAAAAGGCCATCAATAAGATCGATGTTTGAGTCATCATCTACCTATGGAAGACGTTACAAGCGCCCTATAATTAATCATTAATAATAGCGAAGTCGGGGAACCCCCACAAAAATTGGAGAGCAGGATATTTTACCAGCCATTGCGGAGGTCCTCAACAAGGTATTGCACATGTTATTATAAAGAGAATTCCTTTGAGCAATAACACCATTAAGAGACGAATAGACGAGATGAGTTGAGACGTGGAAAACATTTTATGCAATTTCTTACAGACCAACAGATTCTCTCTCTAGTTGAACGACTCTACATTACTAGGCAATAAAGCTCTGTTGTTAGGATATGTTCGATATATTAAAGATGAAAATATGTGCCAAAAACTGCTATTTGTTATATATTTAGAGACATACCAGAGGAGAATCGATTTTTCAGGCCGTGGAACGTTTTTTACCGACAAAGTTATTCCATGGAATAACATTGTTTTTGTTGCGACTGACGGTGCACCATCTATGGTTGGTCGTCATCATGGTTTCATAGCTCACTTAAAGCGACAACTGCCTGAGGTACTGGTCATTCACTGTGTGATTCACAAACAGCATTTAGTAGGAAGTAGCAAAAAATCTGAGTCTTAGAATGTACCAATCTTTACAAAATCAGAGATAAGGGACATAAAGATTGGAAACGCAACGATCGCAGCAACGATGGCGTCATCTAGCGTCTCAGATGTTAACTACAGATCTACGTCGTTTGTAGAGAGACCAGTGTTGCCAAATAGTATTTCAAAAATGGTATTTCGACAAAAAAATTGTACAATAGATACATGCATAGCATAATATAACTTAAACGGGATGAACAAATAAAAAAAAACTTTGGCATGATATTTTATTTATCTATTAATAAAAATGTTTATAACTAAAGAAAATACATGAAACTTTAACACATTTAAAGTAATCAATGACTGTCACTTGAAAGTGATTGAAATTTTGCATGCAAGCTTTTCTTATGCCGTGATAGTCGGTGTACAAAATCACCATGGTCAAAATCACGATAAGTCAGAACGAAAATGACTGCCTTCAGAAATTACGAACGAACTATGAATCTATGCAAGTAGTTTTTAATTTGTATTGTTTTATGTTCTGAAGTTGTTGGAGATATTTAAATAAACCTACTAAAAAAGTGAAGATCGTATTTTTACGTACGACCTCACTGATGCAATCGTACATCGTACAGACAGTTAAAAAATCGTATAAATACGATTTAAATCGTACGGTAGGCAACACTGAGATAGACAGTAGACGTGGACAGTTTGTAAATATAAATGTCAGTTTTATGTATATCGAAGAATTCTGAATTTAAATTTTAAATTTTGAGTTCATGATTGTGTTTTCCTCTAGATGAACTAAGCGAAATAGTTGTGGCTGTTTTTGTGTAAAATTTAAGGACAATAATTATATTTTGTAATATTACAATAAGTCGGACAACGTATTGCATTAGTAACACATGCCACATGAACAAATTTAACAACCCAAATGTGGCGTTCTTTAATTAACCAAAGTAAGTAAGATCTATTCATGTAAGTATTACAAATAGTAATCAACTTTTGTCACAAAGTAGGTGTTTATGTATTATTTATTGTTTTAGAACAAGAAAGTGGCTTCAAAACGTTAGAAAGATTTGATATATGAAGAAAAATATCTGAATTCCCATTATTATTAAATAAGAACGAAAATAAAAACAAAAATGCAATGTTACAAATAACAATCAAAAATTAAAAAATATTTGTCATGAATATAGATTTACAATAAATAATCGATAATAGACTGTAAGTGTAGTATTCGTTTTAATAAATAATTTAGCGTAATTACATTATTTAAGTTTATTTACAAGAACATGAGAGTACAGTCGATATTTATGCAACCTTTTATTATCAGATTTTTAAATTTCCCGCTGCGTTGTTTGACATCGGTGAAAGCGCCAAATAGTGGGTCAGATGTTAACTGCCATAAAGCTGATCGTCGTTAAGCATTGGCTTCTTATGGGCGTTTCCTATCTTTATCTCCCTTATCTCTGTACAAAATGTTATAAATGCTGTCAACAAAATTCGAAGCAATTCTTTGAGTTCTCGGTTATTTGCTCAGCTATGTGAGGAAAACTAGCTACCAAGTCTTTACTCGATTACTTCTGCACACTAATCTATGTTTTTGCAAGAAAAATCCGAATTTGAAAGAAAATCTGAACAATTGTAAAACAGATATTTATTACTTTACTGATATCTTTGGTATGTTTAACAAAGTTAATTTGCAGCTGCAATGGGATGATCTCAACTTGATTAAAACAAAACCAACTATATCGGCCTTTGTGGGTAAACTGATGAACAAAATTTAAGCAGAAAAGAATATTCACAGTTTTCGCATTTGTCAAAATTAAATGTTCGTCGCAGAAATAAATAAAAACCAACAAGAGAAAAAATTCACAGAAATGAAAACATTAACTCTGGATATGATGAAAAAACATGATTAGAATAGAAAGAAGGCCAGAAGCGGTGAAGAAATGAAAAGAAGAGTTGAAGTATCTTACTTTTTCATTAGACTGTTCACAGAAACAAAACAATAATCAATATTTAGAACATTACAACACTTTTCACATTTTTGTAATTATTGTTAATGGTTTCTTACAAAATTTATGAATACAGTAAAAATGTCAATTGCAAGAAAAATTATAAATAGCAATATAAAATAAAAGTGGAATTAACAACCTGACTATAATTAATAATACACCTTCTACTTCTACTCCATCTGCATCGCAACCTCTACGCTCTACGCTATCGTTATCGACAGGTGAATATTTTGTCAGTGCAGGAACAGTTGGTCTGATCGGAACGGACAAGAAGGTGCAACAATACGTAGGAGGCAGAAATTCACTTTCAGTTTTCAATTGTTATAATCAAAGGTCAGTGATGGATCAAAACATCCATTTATTATTTACAGCAAGCATCAAGTATTGACAATGAAAAATTATGTAGATTTTAGCTGTTAACTCATATCCATTAAGAAGAAATCAAATTGTCTGAACAGTATGAAATGTCATACTTATTAATTTTCGTATTAGTAAAGGGATTTATCTACTTATTTGGATCAATAAAATCAAATTCATAATTCAAGGCTTAGAAGGGATGTAGTAAAATAAATTAGGGGAAAAATGGGACCATTGATCTAAGTGACAGTTATTTTTTTGAAGTTTTGCTAGAATGAATTTAAGTAGTACTATTTTTTTTTTTTTTTTTTTTTTTTTGATAAATGTTAGTGAATCCCCAATAACCTCAACTTTAGGATCAACTTCGGATGCATCATTTAGTTGAAGCCACTTGAAATGTTGCTTGTCGATTGGGTAATTTATGTATTTACTTAAGTCTAATGGACTAAAGAAGGATTTGTGTGGGTCTGGTATCGAGTTTTTTTTGATACGATGGTAGAGTGATCTGCAGTTTGATCTTCAGCATGACCAAAAGTTTTGTCAGTACTACCAAAAATAGAAAATTTTCGTTCATGAAATTATTCTCATTTAACAGTCAAAAGCCACTAGTTTTTTTGCTTGGCGTAAAATATTGTGTAAACACTAAATTCTGCTAGAGACTGCGAGCTTCTCAATAATTATAATCCGATTCGTGTAATGGACATTGTATGACTTTTTAAACGCAACATAGACTGAAACATCCAGTGGTTGTAATTTAAGTCAGCAATGTGGCGGAAATGTTAATATTGCTTGAGCATAATCGACAGCTTCTAGTGACATTATAGTGTTCGTGGTTATTAATCAATACGAACTTTGTTTTGAACTGAACAACGAACATGTTTTACAACGCGCTCTAAATGTAAAAGAAAGTTGTTTTCTGTCATCCAACCAGTAGTGTAATTGAGCCTCATAGAGCTCCAAAAAGAAACGGTGGATTTATTTTGTTTTGACTTGAGGAAACATAAAAAATTGAGGAATGAAATTTCCTAAACCACAAATGCATTGCAAACAGTAAATAATTGCCCTTTTCTGGTGGAAGACGTATGGCCCACCTGTTTCGACTTCTTCGGGGCAATGACTTCCGGCAGTTTTGCACCGTGGTAACTTCGGTATCATCAACTTTCTATATGCTCTCTGGTCAAAACTTCTCTCTAATCAAAATAGTTTTTTAATTAGAGCAAAAACTCGAAACGTTGTGTCGGTTAAAACTTATGGCCCGTGACAGACTAGTTGTCTCAGGTGTTCTTATAGATAATTCCGGAAGTCAGTTCATAAAACCATGAGGGTATTTTTTTAATTTTAAACTGCCAAGTTATATGCTTATTTTCTAGCTAATTTATATATTATATGCATATTTCATACCGTTCCATTACTTCCAAATATTTAAAATCTCTTTCTTACATATCAGAAAATATTTTGGTGGATTTGTATGTCGGAGAAAATGTAGTTTGTTCACCTGCTTTAAGTTCATGATATACTTCTTCGTAGGACATTTCTTGATAATCCATTTTCTTTCTCTATAATATGGTATTGACTT